CAAACTAGTATACTTTCTCGTCACACAAAAAGGCAGTCTAAGAAACCACAATAACTCTTAAATGAGGCTTTTTAGCAATTCAAACAGAAGGTCTGTAGATAACACCTTGTGTTGCACCAGAACATATCTTCTAGTTTCCACGTCTTGTCACGACAATCAATAGATTAGTTAGTCACCTATGTCACGTCTGCTATCGCCTCTAACACCGATGCTCAGTTGGCGGTGGTAAATCACTTTCAACCACATACTTGTTCTGCTTCCATTTTGACATAAAGGAAGTAGATTTTTGATGCCATTTTGCAGAAAAAGATCGAAACCAGCATGACCAAAGTATTTAGCTCTTATTTCATTTACCTAACTGAAGGTTAAAAGCTACCTGTGCTTCACGGCCAAGTGGAATGTTTCCATGCAATGAAAACTCGATGATACTGTGCTGTGTGATTTAGAAAACGGTTTGAAAACATCTGCTGAATCTCCACCCTCGATGCGTTTTCGTGTTCGTCTATAAGTCCAACGTATTTAATCCTTTCTCTACGCTTCCATGTATTACTGACTCTTAATCGAACGTATTGGCTAGGATTTATATGCGGCATGATTTTAAAAGCCAGTGTGTAAGGATAGCAGTATTAGATAATAATTAATAGTATATTTTACCAGACGATTCAGACCTTGGAGCTAAAGCAGTAGCTGAGGCTGCATCCACATCAGCACTTACTTTTTAACGAACCAGATTTGCACAATTGATGGTTGCAAACGTAATCCTACTGCAATACGAGTGGCAACTTGTCATTGCTAGATTGCGGGACATGCAAAGGATAGCCTTAATTAAGTATAAAAGGATGTTACAAATGCGAAAGCACTTTGCCTAATTCCTAGACGAAGTAACAGTAATGTACAATACTTAGTGACGGTCGCCAAGTATCTTTAGATATTTTGTTGGGAAAACGGCGATGGCACCCAACGACTAGAGGAGTAGCCTGGTGAAGCCATCTGCGCGGAGAGAAGAATTAAAAAAATCGGATCCTATCTTAGGAATTAGTATTTAACTAGTCTGGTTTTGTAGATAATCTTCAATAAGCAGCAGAATAGCTGTCTTTGCTATTTTGCCACTAAATGCAACTTTGAATGAATGTCCTAAGTCAGACACGTCTAACAGCACCAATCCGCTTTCGTAGTCACAGTTACGTTGGTCAGTTTATAAATAGACTTGCATCTCACATGTTCTCCTATCCCACCAATTCGTTTTTGCCACAATTAAACAGGTGAATAGCCAAAAATCTAGTCCAGTGTCGTTTTCAACGTGCTAGTTTTAGGCCATTTCGATGCCCAAACGCACTCACCAAACTGTTGTATGCAAATAAAATGGAAATGAATGAATTAACAAATTATCACATAGTTACATAGTCGCAAGCGACCTTTAAGTTCTGGAATAATAGAAAACTAGCTGAGAGACAGTGCCATGTTTTACTTCTCTTCAGGCGTTCGAATACAAGCGGAGGATGTGGACGGCAGGCTTCCAAAATGGAATATTCGGAATACGAACACACGATGCGAGAGAGCAAAATGGTCACTGATGGGACGTCGGGAATCTCAAACGTAGAGCGAAATATACACGCCAACAGTTGGGCAGATCTACAGAGGCGAAGATATGAAAAGAGGCTGCCAGGAGTATGACATGTTGCATGGTGTATGTGACAGTTTTATCACATTGTAAGCATATCTTATCTAAGAAATCAATTGGGATTCTAATTTCACTTCCACTTCATTGTCTTTGCGTTGCAAAGTTCCTTGTACGCGACTACTCATAGTAATATTATGCTTGCTTTTAATCCCACATACGAAGACAAGTTTTACGATAGCCGGTTTAATTTAACGTGCCTAAGGAGCATGGACCGAAGCGGATAGGTTGTTGTTAGTCCGCCCCCCTCTTCGATAGCCACATTGCCGGCGTTGACTGTCAAAATACGAGAGAAAATAGTAAGGGGAACCAGATGTGTTTCATATTAGCGTCTACAGATGCACAAAGCCGTTTGTTAAATGAGAAAGTATTTGAAGACAAAGAGAGCGGACGTAGGAAGGGTCACTTTTAATCAAGCGGTTACTCCTGCTGTATTCTCAAAAATGCTTGCATTCTGATCTGCATTGATAGTTCTGTCTGCCAGCGCTCCAAAAACAGCAATAATTTTTCCACAACTGCTGCTAATAAAACTCCTGACACCTCAAAATCGAAACTTTTCGACTACATCGCTACTAACTGAAATTCTCTAAGGAATCCACTTTGTATTGCACAGCTAACATAAACACTCGTCCCAAATGATGCAGAGGGTCTTCTATACACCCACGAAATTCGCGCAATATTATGCTTGCCTTCTGGTAGAAATAATGATTTCACAAGTGCATTTCCAAGGTATTGACAGTGATTCATGGTTAATTGATGCTGTCGTTCTAACAAGTGCCAATTTTATTTGCCAAAATCAAGGCCAGTCATTTACATTGGCCTTTAAAATTGAAATTTCGGTTGTCGTGGAATTAACACCACACAAGCAATTGTGTGAACAGCTTTTACTTGTCTGAACACTTGTCAAACCAGAAGAAATATAAATCCTCACGTCTGTTGGTTCAATTAAAATTGAAACAACACCACGGCATGCATTCGCAAAATATCGGACCCCTAGTATGAAATAGGGATGCAACAGCAATATTTGTTGACCAATGACAAGGAAGAACCGTGGGTCATGCGCCATCCATCCAAGTCCTCCATGGTGGCTGCGGTGCCCACTTTTTCCTGACGTTTTAGTTGTTGTGAAATCAACGCCACACAAGAAATTGCGTGAATAGCTTTTATCTGTCTAAACAATTGTTAAACTAGACGAAATGTAAGTATTCATGTTTATTAGTTCAATAAAAGTTGAAACAACACAACACGGTATACATTAGCAGAATATCGGAGCCCTAGTGCAGAATACCCGAGCCCTAGAACGAAGAAGACTGGTACAACGGAGCAGGCTTTGTTGACCAATCACGAGCCAGAACCACACACCAGGCGCCGTCTATCAGAGTCCAGTACCCTGGCTACCCCGCTACTATTATATCACTTCTCAACCGTGTCAGTATCTGGTTGGCTGGACGGGAATGGAAAGCAAAGAGGCAGAGGATTGGCTGAGTCTGGCGTGGTCCAAAATTTCTGTGAGCTTATACGTCACCACACGAGTATGGAAAAATGGATACAACAGAAAGATTTATTGACCATTGGCAAGGAAATACCGTGGGTCAGGCGCAAAGCTCCCTTTTTCCTGCTTCTTCTCACTCCTTGTCTCTAGTTGTCTACAGATTTTCACCGTAGACCGTTTGAACGCAAACAGACAGCGAATTGGCTGATTTCTGCGTAGTTCAGTATGTCTGAGCCCTTGTTATTCACTACACATAATTGACTGACACTTCTGGTTGGTCTGCCTCAGTAAGCATTCACAATTTACAATCTGTCGTTTTGTTTTGCCCTATCAGCAAAAATAGGCAGTTCTCGTCAATTCACTCATGTGCAGAAACCGGCTATGGCATGAACTACTCGTCTGACATGTCTCCAGGTCATCAGATTTGAAGTCGCGTTTTTCATTTGCAACGATGAGTTGAATTTGAATGCCTTGTCCCATGCTGACAAAACCCTTTCGACTCATGAATGCGTTGCAGCTTAACTATCTGCCCGTCGACGCTCGTTGTAGCCAATCTATGATGCCATTTCCAGTCGCAATTATTAAGACATGTGGATGGCGTGCAAGCTATGTTTGAATAGGCAACACCTACAGGGTCAAACTATGGTGAAAACGTACCCCACATTTGCAATAATGATTGGAAAACTCATCTTACATTTGTGCGAAAGCGACAGCATACCGAATAAGGATAATGTGTTTAGTGAGATTGATTTTGATAATAGTGGATTATCATTGACTGATGCTTGACAGCGACTACTCCAAACAGATATTTCGCAACTGTGACAATTTTTCGACGCTTAACGACGATCCTGATGGCATTTAAGTGAAGTAAATTCAAATCTTCACTTACAGTTTCAAAATCGTAAGTTATTTAAGGATTTCCAACATTTAAGAACTTTTTGTGCAGAAATGAGGCGGCGTTCGTTTAAGACGAGAGAAATGTGCATTTAGCGCAATAACGCTCGGATCGCACTGCCGTCATAGATGAAATAACAGAGGTTAATGTGGCATTATTTGCTTATATTCCTGTGACATTTGACGGAGCTTGTGTAAGCGTCAGGCAGATTCACCTGTTCGCGAATTGGCTAGAAGCCAACCTCACTTTCGTGAGGTGATGTAACTCTGTTACTGGCAAACAATGTTCGCTTGTGCATTAATCCAGTTATTTGACAAATCGGCAGACTTTAATGCTAGATACTACTATCAAGCTGTTCACAAGCTGCCTTAAAGTAAAGCCGTTTTGCTCAGAGATAAAATGAAAACGCTTGACAACGCATTCTTCGAATTAAATTTCAGCGTTACTCATGACTGCGCACCCAACCGCGCAATCCTAAAAGGGGAGGCTGTATTAGTGTATGTATTATCCAGCTAATGTGCACATGGAAATTCTATCTCATGTACATTATGGCATATTGAAGGGTTAAGCAGCTTTCGGGATCGAACCCTTACAGACTACCTCGAAACGCAAGTAAACAAAAACAATGTTTATTCTTTAAAAACCCACCGAAAATCTCGGAAAAAATAGGCCAATATAAATTACCAAACTCATATCTCGTCCAAGTCAGTGAATGGGAAGAAGTGTAGCGAGATGTCCCTACCACTAGTTGGTGGCAAGCAGAGAAGGAGGTTCAGCAGTCTCCGAGCCATCCAAAGGGGCCACAAATCAATAAGTGGCGACTGTCCGCATCCCAAACTCCAAGGCACCAACACAAATACCGACATGGATTCACACATTAGGGATGGCTGGTGACGAGTTACGCCCAATGACGAGTATGCCTCGATTCGAGAGAATCAGACCAACCAATTGGACACAAAGGCGGTCACAGTGAGGAATCGCAAATAACCCGGTTGCGGATAGACGTGCTCATTTACCTCTTCCTCCGCGTCATCCTCTTGACGAGGAATGGGAACGCGGTAGAAGGGGGAAATGGCGTCAATTGGGGTCATCCACAGAATACCAGTCAGGTGAGCTTTTGGTTCCACGGAGTGTCGCATCAAATTCAGCAGCGGTGACAGCGGTGACAAAGCCTGCCAAAGCAAGACTTGCAAATTAACAACGAGGGCTGCAACTAAAAATGTTGAGTTTGCAGCAGGCTAGGTGTTCAAAATCAAACTACACTCC